GGGGGTGAATGGCCAGGCTTCAGGAACTCCCAGTTCTGTCCTGGAGCCTGGGTGGTGAGTGGGGGTCCCTCCAGAACCATCAGATCTCAGGCCCCCTCCCAGGAAGCTTCCAGCCTGGGGCTTCCCCCATCACTGCCCACCCCCAGCTCCTCTGGGAACACAGGCAGGAGGGGTGTCAGGCCAGTGGGAGGGGCCCCTGCCAGCCCTGTTGGGGCTCTGTTGGCACCTGGGCCTGTTACCACAGTGCCATGAAGGCTGCTTCACCTGCTCTGAGCTGTGCCTGGCTGGATCCTGAGAGCTGGCTCTGAGCCGTGCCTGGCTGGGCCCTGCGAGCCTCGCCTTCATCGTGGCAGCCTGGCACCCAAGGCACTGGTCTGGGACCTAGAGAGGGCCCTCAGCCCCCAGCTTCGGAGCCAGGGCCTCAACGCCTGTCCTACTCTGCCCCGTCTCCTGGAGGACAGGTTCCCAGTTAGGCAGGAATCAGGGCTGGCACTTGAGCTGTGAGCACATCTGTGGTCGGGCGCGAAGGACTGCAGCCACCCACTCAGCGTGCGAGGCCCTCTGACATTCCCGGATGGCTGCGGGGGTCCCTGAGCCCTGTGCTGACCTTGCTGGGAGCTGCCAGGGACCATCCACGGGGCTACTGCCCTTGGGTCCAGGGGCAGGTATGTGCCCCTGCAGATTCTCTGAGCCACCTCTGGAGGACTGTCCTGGGGACCGGGGTCGGCGGACAGGGACCTGGAAGAAGGCAGTGGTTACCTGTTTCTCTACTTTTGGAGCTCTGGTTTCAGTTTTCCGGGGGGCATGTGCTTCTAGAGAGGAGAGAGACTGGGGTGAGGCCAGAAGAGCAGCCCCAGAGGTCAGCAGGGAGAAACCTGGGCAATGGCCCCACCCGCTGGGGACCGCAGAGAAGGACGGCCGCCTCCGGCGGTGCCCAGGGCCTCTGGACTGTCTCAGCACCCATGGTCAGGACCCCCACACTTGCTCAGGGACAGTGTGGGCCTGGACGCCCCAGAGTGAAAGAGGGCTGTCCAGACAGGCTGGGCTCGGAACACAGCGCCCGGTGGGCCCACATGCTCAGTTCTGCCCTGCCCCACCTCTACATTTTCTGGGTCTCTGGGCCCTGGAAGGAGCCCCCTCCCCCTGGGCTCTCCTGGCAGCTGGGCTCAGACCCAGCCCCGTCAGCCCTCTGGGCAGTTGGCGTGGGAGCAGAATTCGGGGAATCCCTCGGGGCGTGGGCAGGCATGAGTGGGCTCTGCCAGCGCTGGCCCCTTCCTCCCGGGCCTCACTGACCCTTCCTCCCGCTGACCTCACCCGGCCTGGCCCTCGGGGAGAATGGGCCAGTGTGCTCCGTGCGGGGTTGTGCCAAGCAGCCCCCAACAAAGGAGCCTTTGGTGTGCCTGGCGTGGGATGCCAGCCTGTGGCAGGGTGGGGGTGGGCCGCTGCAGTGCCCTCCCTGTGCCGTGGCCCCAGCCTCTCGCTCAGCCACACTGCCTGCCTGGTACAGCCCATGTGGCGGGTCCGGCTCCAGGCTCTGCTGTCCCTCGCCCAGCTATTCCGGTGGCTTCAGGCACCTTCTCCAGACCTATCCAGAAAGATGCCCGGATGGAGCCTGCAGCTCCGTGGCTTTTCTGGGAAGCAGCGGCCCCTGATCTCGAGAGACCCTGGCTCCTGATGCTAGCCCCAAGGCTGCCAGCTGGTGCTGGGGACTCAGGACAGTTTCCCAGAACAGGCCAAGCGGGCAGTCCCTCTAGGGGCCAGGTGAGGAAGCTGGGGGGTGCGAAGGCCGCACTGGGTCCCTGAGCCCCCTGCTTGGTTACAGTGCAGCTCCTCAAGTCCACGGACCTGGGCCGGCACAGCCTCCTATACCTGAAGGAAATCGGCCATGGCTGGTTCGGGAAGGTATGTGTCCCACCTGGGAGAGAGGGCTGTCGCCTGGTAGGCAGAAGGGACACAGGGATGCAGACCTGCTCTTCCTGGGAGCCACCCCAGCCCCGAGGGTCTCTTCTCTGGCCCCTGGGCCCTGTTGGATCCCTCCTCAGAGTCTGGCTGCATCCCCTTCTCCCTAGGGGGTCCTGGGAGGGAGAGGAGCAGGCTCATGGTCCTGGCCTTCCCCCGATCCTGGCCTTCCCCCGATCCTGGCCTTCCCCCGATCCTGGCCTAAACGAGACAGCTGGGTCCCTCTTCCTCACTTCAAACCCCCAGAGAGAGAGAGAGAGACAGAGAGAGAGAGAGAGAGGGCAGCGGGAGACTTTGGGGAGAGAATAACACAAAAGACTCAGAATATTACAGCCAGAGGGTCACTGGGAGGGGTCCGGAACCCACACCCCGCACTGCAGTGAATGGACTGGGCACAGGAGGAGAAGGGGCCTGTCCTGGGGGCCGGGGTGGGGCGGGTGGGAGAAGAGTAAGGCCTGGAAGCCGGGGCCTGTGGAGGCGGAGCAGCCGCGGGTGACGCTGTCCCACAGGTGTTCCTGGGGGAGGTGAACTCTGGCGTCAGCAGTGCCCAGGTGGTGGTGAAGGAGCTGCAGGCCAGCGCCAGCGTGCAGGAGCAGATGCAGTTCCTGGAGGAGGTGCAGCCCTACAGGTGGGAGGCCATCGGGCACAAAGGCCCACACTGTGCGACCCCTTCCTCCCCCTCCCCTGCTCGGCCCGCCTCCCCCTCCCCTGCTCCTCCCAAGTCAGGGGCCGCCTGTCCACTCCTGCAGGGCCCTGAAGCACAGCAACCTGCTCCAGTGCCTGGCCCAGTGTGCCGAGGTGACGCCCTACCTGCTGGTGATGGAGTTCTGCCCGCTGGTGAGCTGCTGCCCAGGGGGACCTGGGGCCTTTGCTGAGCCGGGGCCCTCCCTTGCCCTGCCAGTGTCTGGTGCCACCCCCTCCCTGGGGGCCTCACATCCTCCCTAAAGCCAAGACCCAGGGACACTACCCCACCGCCTTCCAGAGGAGGCCATGGGGAGACCCAGCCTCACTGGGGAGGGACTGTGGGGGCTGGGCACAGGACAGGCCTGGGCCGGGACTCCCTGCACCCCTGGGGAGCTGCCAGCTGCTTGCTCACCTGCCTGTGTGCCCTGTGGTTCAGGAGGAGGCATCCTGGGCCAATTAGGGGCCACTGCTCCATTGGGGCTCCACGGCCTCACTCAGGCTTGAGTTTGTCATGGGGGACTGGGGATGGCCACTTCCCCAGGCTGCCTGGAGTCCTGGGCCTGCCCATCACCACCACCCCCCAGGGACCCACCCCCGCCAGGGACCTGCCCCCCACCCCCTTGCACATACACAGCTCCTGCACTGAGCCGGGCCTGCCTGCGGCTGGGCTGGGTCCCCGGCTGGCTTCCCTTGGGACAGGGGCCCTCACACATTGGCGTCTGGACTCCTAACGTTGGCCCTCCCAGGAGCTGAGCTTTCGGCAGGTCGGGGCTGCCGACCAATCCTCGACCACCAGCCCCAGGCTCCATCAAGCAGATCCACCGGGGCCCTGCGTTTCTCTCTGTACCACAGGCCAAGGGACTCCTGCTGCGCAGGGCTGGCTGAGGGGCGGTGGAGAGGGAGCCTTCAGTCCAGCCCAGCCCTGGTGGACACGGCCCCTCTCCAGGAACTGTTGGGTGTCAGCCACTGTGCAGGGCGCGGGGCTGCTCTGGGCAGCTGCTGTCCGTCAGCTGTGGGTAGGGGTGGAGGAGTTGGGGAGGTAGGCAGGGACCTTCCAGGGTGGCCAGTCCCCAGTCTGCTGGTGACTGCGCCATGCCCCCTTTCTGCAGGGGGACCTCAAGGGCTACCTGCGGAGCTGCCGGGTGGCGGAGTCCATGGCGCCCGACCCCCTGACCCTGCAGCGTATGGCCTGTGAGGTGGCCTGCGGCGTCCTGCACCTGCATCGGAACAACTACGTGCACAGGTGAGGGCGGGCGCGGGCCAGTGGCCAGGAAGCCCTAGGCCAGGGCCCCTCCCTGCTGTAACCCTTGGACTGGGGCCCTCTCTGGGCCTCGGCCCCTCCCCTGAAGGAAGGGCGTAGGGGCGGGTCCTGCCGCGAGGACCGGCCGGGTTCATCTCATGCAGCATCAAACAACTGCTATACAAAGGGATTTTATGACGTTTTTGAAAAATTGGGAAGACAATGGTTTGACACCCACTTTGCAGGTTTAGACGAAGAAATGTGCACTGTTGATCAAGCTGGCCTGTTCTCTGTCCCCGAGGCAGTCAGCCACCACCCTGCAGCCCCACGCCAACCCCACACTCTGTCTCCCTCAAGTCCCAAAGGGAGGGCTTAGCAGGCCCTGCTTCGCAGAACCCTGGAGGGAGGGTTCTGTCCTGCTCGGGCCAGGATGCCCAGCCCCTGGGGACCCCGGGGGGACATGCTGGAAGAAGTGGCGAAGGACATGTGGCCCCACCAGCCCCAGATGCCGCACGGCCGTCCTCTCCAACAATATCCTGGTGCTGAGTGATGACTCAGGTGACTCCAGCATCAGTGATTTTGTTGAAGAGGGTAGCTGCCAGCCTCCCGACCTGCCTGCCGAGCCCCAGCTGCCCTGCCCCCAACCCCACCCCACCCCACCCCACCCCATCCCACCCCATAGGCCCAGGACACGTGGGCCTATAGCAACCCCCAGCACACAGACACGGGCTTATGTGGGGAGGGACAGCCTGGGTTGGGCTCTGTCCCCACCCTGAGTCCTGAGCACAGAAGTAATACCGCAGGTGTGGTAATATCTACCCAGTACCCTACGCCTCCGCACACCCACGTGACCAGCCAGGCAGGGGGTCCAAGCCAGCAGCCGAGGCAGGCTGGGTTGGAGGTAGTGCCAGGGGTGACCGGCGTTCTCTGCAGACCCTACCCAACCCTGGGGCCGGTGGTGGCTCAAGTGAGAGCTCCAGCTCCGAGTGGGCATGGCAGGGCTGGGCCCTGAAACTGGACTCTGGCAGCTGGCAGGACCCCTGGGATCCTCCAGGCCTCAGTTCCCCCATCAATTCCCACCTCCTGGGAAGCCGAGGGTGATGGTGTAGCAGGGCTGGGAGGAGAGGGTCCTGGAGAAGCGTGGACGGGTCCAGGTGGGTTCTGGCAGGTCCTCACCCTCTCTAGGCCCCATTCTCATCTGCATTGTAACATTGGAGGCCCACGCAAACGGTCCCTCCCCAGGTCTCGGGGCTGGGCACAGGATAGGGCCCTAGGCAGGGGTGGGTGGTGGCAGCATCTCCAGTGCCCCTTCCGGCCTGGGCTGTGAGCCATCCAGGTGTTGGCAAAGGACCCCTGTGCTGGACTCCCCGACCTGGCACACCCCACTGACCCTGCCCTGCCCCCGCCTCTGACCCTGCCTGCAGCGACCTGGCTCTGCGGAACTGCCTACTCACGGCTGACCTGACGGTGAAGATCGGTGACTACGGCCTGGCTCACTGCAAGTACAGAGTGAGTGGGGTGGGCTGGGCTGGGCTGGGCATGAGGGGCGGGGCCTGCGCCGGCAGGGGTGACCCGTCCCTGTGCCAACAGGAAGACTACTTCGTGACCGCCGACCAGCTGTGGGTGCCTCTGCGCTGGATCGCACCGGAGCTGGTGGACGAGGTGCACAGCAACCTGCTTGTTGTGGACCAGACCAAGAGCGGGAACGTGTGGTGAGTGCAGCCCTGGTGGCGCCGTGAGGGGCTGAGGCCGAGTGCCACCCGCCTACCCATGTCAAACCATGGCCACGAGTAGTGAGGTTGGGGGGCTGCTGGAGCCACCTGTAGTGGCCGCACGCCAGCAGCCCAAGTGGCTGGTTAGGTGGCGACCCCACACTGGTGGAGACACTGCCTGACAGGTGCACCAGGGACCCCTGGGCTGACGCCCACCCATGGCGGGGTCAGAGCACACATACAGGGCCACAAGCCAAAAGCCCATCCTCAGCATGCTGAGGGGCCTGTCCTGGGATGGGAGACTCGGTGTGCACCTGTGCCTGGGGAGAGGGTCTGGGCGGGGTGTTGGCTGCCTTCAGGGGAGTGTAGGTCAGGCTGTGCCAGGCAGAGGAGGTGACGGTGGGGGTGCTGGGATCTCCCACAACGGCAGCCTGGAAGCCCCGCCCCCATCCTGAGCACCCAGCACGGACTGTTCATTCCCACCTGGTGTAGCCTCTGAAGAGGTGGGGCCGAGCTGCCCAGGGTAGTGGTCTGCCCTGGGGTGGGCGCCCCTTCCTGCCCTCACCTCTGCGGCTTCCCCCGCGGCCCCCATCACTCCCAGGCTGCGGTCTGGCCACCTTCTGCTTCTGGGGAACTCTCAGATCCCATGGGCCAGGCCGCCTCCCTGAGCTTTCGGGGTCTCCCCTAAGCCACTTGACTGTGCCCCATCATGGACGCTGTCCCCTCCTCACCTCTCCACCAAGGCCCCTTCCTCGCCTGCCCACCCCACCGTGCACTGGCTGGGGTCTCCAGTCACAGGGCTCTGGCCAAGGTCTGGTGACGTCTTGCTAAATCACCTCTGTCTCACTCTGCAGCCTCTTGGGACAGCCAGGGACCAAAGTGGCTAGGTGAAGCCACAGCCCACAGGAAGGAGACCCCAGTTGCCCTACTCGCCCACATGCTCTGTGCACCCCTGCCTGTTCCCCGGCCCTGCCCATGCTGGCCTGAGGCGTCCCCTCTCTCCCGCTCCCTCAGTCCCCTTCTGATGTTGGCCCTACCCTGCCTCGGGCTCCACACCTGCCCTCCAGCTCCGCCAGGGCAGCTCCCACACTGGGCAGTGTCTGGTCTTCAGTGCATCAGTGAATGAATGAATGAGTGGACAAGCAGATGGATTTGGCCAGCCTGGCCTTTATGTGCAGGCTCCACAGGTGCTGGGCTTGGGCCTGGCCAGGTGCACATTCTGTCTGCTGAAATGAAGGGCTGTCCTCAGGGAGGGGCGGCTGATGTGGTACCAGGCCCTGGTCCTGAGGCACTGGCGTGATGGCGGGAGCTGCCCCTTCGGCACCCCAGGGATCCTGCGCGGCCCTTGCTGTGGCAGGCTGTGCCCAGCCCTGACTCACAGCTGTCACCCCACAGGTCCCTGGGCGTGACCATCTGGGAGCTCTTTGAGCTGGGCACGCAGCCCTACCCCCAGCACTCGGACCAGCAGGTGCTGGCGTACGCGGTCCGGGAGCAGCAGCTCAAGCTGCCCAAGCCCCAGCTGCAGCTGACCCTGTCGGACCGCTGGTGAGGGCCCCACCGCCCTGTCCCGGACAGCCAGGCCGAGATGGGGTATCCTGACCCCCAGGCAGAGGCGGCTCACCCTGACCCCCTGGGGTTCCAGCCCTCCCTGGTCTCCCCTCTCCTCTGATAGGGCCTCTACCCACCACCTCTGCACCCCTGTGTGCAGGGAGGGAAGGCTTAGGGGGAGTGCCCAACCACCTCCTGTGCCCACGCTGCTGGGCCTGCCTTGGCAGATTTGGGCCGTCACTCAAGTGGGAGATGCCCTTAACGTCCCCAAGACACTGGGAGTTAGGGGAACCCCATCCCTGCCCCATGGACGCGTTCCTGGCCAGCGTTGCCTCTGACGTGGCCCCCGTGGGACCTCCTCGCAGGTACGAGGTGATGCAGTTCTGCTGGCTGCAGCCGGAGCAGCGGCCCACAGCTGAGGAGGTGCACCTGCTGCTGTCCTACCTGTGTGCCAAGGGCGCCACCGAAGCAGAGGAGGAGTTTGAGCGGCGCTGGCGCTCTCTGCGGCCCGGCGGGGGCGGCGTGGGTCCTGGGCCCGGTGCGGCGGGGCCCACGCTGGGCGGGGTGGTGGAGCTCGCCGCCGCCTCGTCCTTCCCGCTGCTGGAGCAGTTCGCGGGCGACGGCTTCCACGCGGATGGCGACGACGTGCTGACGGTGACCGAGACCAGCCGAGGCCTCAACTTTGAGTACAAGTGGGAGGCGGGCCGCGGCGCGGAGGCCTTCCCCGCCACGCTCAGTCCGGACCGCCCCGCGCGCCTGCAGGAGCTGTGTGCCCCCGACGGCGCGCCCCCCGGCGTGGTTCCGGTGCTCAGCGCGCACAGCCCCTCGCTGGGCAGCGAGTATTTCATTCGCCTAGAGGAGGCCACGCCCGCCGCCGGCCACGACCCCGACTGCGCCGGCTGCGCCCCCAGTTCACCTGCCATCGCAGACCAGGACGAGGACTCTGACGGCAGCACCGCTGCCTCGCTGGCCATGGAGCCGCTGCTGGGCCACGGGCCACCCGCCGACGTCCCCTGGGGCGGCGGCGACCTCTACCCTCGCGGAAGCTTGGTGCGGGACCAGCTCTGCCCCTCACGCTCGCCCTCGCCCTCTGCGGGGCCCCTGAGGCTGGCGGAGGGCAGAGCCAAGGATGCAGACTGGGGCGTGGCCGCCTTCTGTTCGCCCTTCTTTGAGGACCCACTGGGCACATCCCCCTTGGGAAGCTCAGGGGCGCCGCCGCTGCCGCTGACTGGCGAGGAGGAGCTGGAGGAGGTGGGAGCGCGGACGGCCGCCCAGCGTGGACACTGGCGCTCCAACGTATCTGCCAATAACAACAGCGGCAGCCGCTGTCCAGAGTCCTGGGACCCCAGCTCTGTGGGCTACCACGCTGATGGCTGCTGCAGTCCGAAGCAGCCCCCGCGGGCCTCCCCTGAGCCGGCATACCCCGGGGAGTCTCTGCTTGGGCTGCAGGCAGCCTCCTCTGCCCAGGAGCCAGGCTGCTGTCCCGGCCTCCCCCATCTATGCCCTGCCCAGGGCCTGGCACCTGCCCCCTGCCTGGTCACACCCTCCTGGACAGAGGCACCTGGTAGTGGGGGTGACCACCTGCAGGCAGAGCCCAAGCTTGCCACGGAGGCTGAGGGCACTGCCGGACCCTGCTTGTCCCTTCCTTCTGTCCCCTCCCCATCCCAGGAGGGAGCCCCACTTCCCTCAGAGGAGGCCAGTGCCCCCGATGCCCCTGGCGCCCTGCCTGACTCGCCCACGCCTGCTGCTGGTGGCGAGGTGTCTGCCACCAAGCCGGCTTCCACCCTGAATGGTGGTGGCAGCTCCCCTGAGGTGGAGGCACCCAGCAGTGAGGATGAGGACACAGCTGAGGCCACCTCAGGCATCTTCACTGACACGTCCAGTGACGGCCTGCAGGCCGAGAGGCTGGATGTGGTGCCAGCCTTCCGCTCTCTGCAGAAGCAGGTGGGGACTCCTGACTCCCTGGACTCCCTGGACATCCCGTCCTCAGCCAGTGATGGTGGCTATGAGGTCTTCAGCCCGTCGGCCGCTGGCCCCTCTGGAGGGCAGCCCCGAGCACTGGACAGTGGCTATGACACGGAGAACTATGAGTCCCCCGAGTTTGTGCTCAAGGAGTCACAGGAAGGGTGCGAGCCCCAGGCCTTTGGGGAGCTGACCTCAGAGGGAGAGGGCCCCGGGCCCGAGATACGGCTCTCTGCCTCCCTCAGTGGCCTCAACGAGAAGAACCCCTACCGAGACTCTGCGTACTTCTCAGACCTGGAGACTGAGGCCGAGCCCACCTCGGGCCCAGAGAAGTGTGGCGGGGACCAAGGTCCTGGGCCAGAGCTGGGCCTGCCGAGCACTGGGCAGCCATCTGCACAGGCCTCCCTCAGGCCTGGGGTTCCTGGGGAGGCACAAGGCTCTGGCCCCGGGGAGGTGCTGCCCCCACCGCTGCGGCTTGAAGGGTCCTCCCCAGACCCCAGCACCTGCCCCTCAGGCCTGGTCCCAGAGCCTCCAGAGCCCCAAGGCCCAGCCGAGGTGCCGCCTGGGCCCAGCCCCAGCTGCTCCCAGTTTTTCCTGCTGACCCCGGTTCCGCTGAGCTCAGAAGGCAACAGCTCTGAGCTCCAGGGGCCCACAGGACTGTTGTCAGGGCTGACTCCACAAAAGCGGATGGCGGGCCCAGGCACCCCCCGAGCCCCACTCCGCCTGGCTCTGCCTGGCCTCCCTGCGGCCTTGGAGGGCCGGCCGGACGAGGAGGAGGAGGACAGTGAGGACAGCGACGAGTCTGACGAGGAGCTCCGCTGCTACAGCGTCCAGGAGCCTAGCGAGGACAGCGAGGAGGAGGCGCCGGCGGTGCCCGTGGTGGTGGCTGAGAGCCAGAGCGCGCGCAACCTGCGCAGCCTGCTCAAGATGCCCAGCCTGCTGTCCGAGGCCTTCTGCGAGGACCTGGAACGCAAGAAGAAGGCCGTGTCCTTCTTCGACGACGTCACCGTCTACCTCTTCGACCAGGTGGGCCACTGCCGACCGGTGTCTGCTCGGGGCTGCGGGTCGCGCTCCCGCAGGAAGGGGTGGGAGCGGCCGCGACTCCTGGCGGCCAAGCCACCTGGTGCTCTCTGATCCCTCCAGGAAAGCCCCACCCGGGAGCTCGGGGAGCCCTTCCCGGGTGCTAAGGAGTCGCCCCCCACGTTCCTTATGGGGAGCCCCAGCTCTCCCAGCGCCCCCAGCCCGCCGCGACAGGCTGATGGCTCCCCAGATGGCTCCACTGCGAAAGAGGGTGAGCCGGGGCGGGGCCGGGCCCATGATGTCACGGGAGGTGGGGCCTGGTCCGTGCCTTGTGGGAGGCGGGGCCTAATGTGTGACATCATGGGAGGAGCACCTGGCCCTTGATGTGTGGGAGGCGGGCTTTGGCCCGTGGCGTCATGAGAGGCCGCTTTGGTATGTGACGTCATTGGAGGCGGGGCCTGGTCCGCGCTGCATGGGAGGTGGGGCCTGGGCCCGTGACATCATGGGAGGCGGGGCCAGGCCCATGACTGTGGGAGCGGGGCGGCCCGGGGTCCCAGGCTGTGAGTGCGAGTGACATCGTCACCTGGGTTGCAGGTGGCGGGTTTGCGTGGGACGACGACTTCCCGCTGATGCAGGCCAAGGCAGCCTTCGCCATGGCCCTGGACCCGGCCGCACCCGCCCCAGCTGCGCCCACGCCTGCTCCCTTCTCGCGCTTCACGGTGTCGCCCGCTTCCACATCCCGCTTCTCCATCACGCACGTGTCTGATTCAGACGCTGAGTCCGTGAGAGGTGAGGCCCGTGCGAGGCAGGGACGGAGCTCCGAGGGTGGGGCCCCTCCGTCTAGGTCCCTGCCGGGCCAGCCAGGTGTCCCTACCCCTGCAGCCTCTGCCAGGTGTCCCTACCCCTACAGCCCCTGCCCACGTGCCTGACAAGTGCCCACCTCCTCGAAGGCCCCCTGCCCTCTCTCCCCTCCCCTCGGTAGACCCATTATTTCCTAGCTGTCCTGGCCTGTGGCTGCAGCCTTGGGGGAAGGGCCGTCAGCCTCACCCCTGCCTGGCGCAGGGTGCCCCCTGCATGGCAGAACAAGCACGCAGGTCACTAGGAGGCCACTACATGACCCTGGCCGCCATCTTCCTGTTCAGGCCTCAGTTTCCCTGTGTGTAAAAGAGGACTTGGAGGCATTCGCCGAGCCTTGTTGGCCTGGGTCTAGTGATGCAGGAGAGTGGGAGAAATGGGTCCATCTCCTACCTACACACAGCCAGATCTGCTGCAGGGAAGGGGCCCGGGCTGGCCCCATAGCCCCTACTGGCCCGGCCTGTATGTGGGCCAGGGATGGAGGCCAGGTGGGAGTTGTGGGGGGGAGGCAGGCCCTGGTGTCTTAGGACCCTGTGTTCACTTTGTCGTCCTGCTTGCCAGGCCCTGCAGCAGGTGCCGGGGGTGAGAGTAAAGAGGCTTGAAACCAGGGCAGCTCCTGCTCCTCGAGGCTGGCATCACCAGAGCCCCTGCCAGGCAGCAGCGAGGATGGTGACCGAGAAGGTGGGGACCGTGTCCTGGTGGCTGTTGGCAGCAGATTCGGGTGCCTCTGCCCCACATGGTGTCCTGGAAAAGCCCGCAGGATGAGAGGCCCTGGACAGTGGATTGGCCATGCTCTGCCCCGGAGGCAGAATTTGGGCTTCTGGGTTTGCTGCTAGCCCCTGGGGACGCCTGGAGTTCCAGTGGATGTCTGTACACACACACTCGAGGGGCCAGTGCCCCTGGGTACGGCGGCCCCTGCCCTCTGCTCTGCCTGCCGCTGCCGGCTGCCTGGCCTCGGAGGTCCCACATGCCCCATCTGGTGGCTCCTCCGGTGTCCTCACAGGACACTTGACACAGGACAAGGCATGGCCCCGAGACACTGGCAGGCTTGTGAGCCTCCTCCCACCCCCTGTGCCCCCATCCTTGCCTGGCTCCTGGTGGCTCAGGGCAAGGAGCAGCCCTGGGCGCCTGTTTCAGTCCTGTTTCCTCTGCCCTTATCTCAAAGTCTGTGGCTGTTTCCCCTTCACTGACAGCTAGACCGGTAAGCCCACCCTTCCCACAGGGAATGGGCTGTTCCCACCTGGGTCCTGCTGTGGCCACGGTGGGCAGCCAAAAAGATCAGGGGTGGAGGGGGCTTCCAGGCTGCACTCCTGCCGCCGTGGGCCCCGTTCTAGAGGTGCCCTTGGCAGGACCGTGCAGGCAGCTCCCCTCTGCAGGGCACTATCCGGTCCTGTGCCCCAGCTGCGAAAGGAGAGTGGGGGCCATACCCCGCAGTCAGTGTTGGGGGGCTCCTGCCTACAGGGAGAGGGATGGTGGGGAAGGGGTGGAGCTGGGGGCAGGGCAGCGCAGGGAATATTTTTGTAACTGCTGTGGTTGGAGCGAATGAAAGTGGGGTGACTTTAAGTTATTGTTGCCAAAGAGATGTAAAGTTTATTGTTGCTTTGCAGAGGGATTTGTTTTGTGTTTTGTTTGAGGCTTAGAACGCTGGTGCAATGTTTTCTTGTTCCTTGTTTTTTAAGAGAAATGAAGCTAAGAAAAAAAGAAACCTTTGTGTGTTGTCTCCTGAGGTCTGCCGATAAAGTCCTGGACAGGAGGGGCTGTGCCGTGGCTGGGGTAGGAACCCAATGCCACCCCTTCCTGGGGCCAGGAGGAAGCTGCCCCTCTCTTCCCCACTGCCCTTGGCACACCCTGGTGGAGGGGATGGTGTTCTGGCCCTACTGTGTCTGGGGGTGCAGGGGCAGATCCCTGCAGGTCTCCCTTCCTGCAGGCCGAGTTGGCCTGGTGGGGACGGGTGAAGAGAGTGGACCTACAGGCCTCTCCAGGACAGCCTCCTCCCTGCCCTTCTGAGGGCACTGTCTGTCCCCGGGCCCAGGGTGGAAGGCGGAGTCAGGAGAGTTGAGCACAGCTGGGCTCCCCTGCACCCTCTGCTGGCCAGCTCTCAACTGCCCTCCTGACCTGCCAACTCTGCAGCTTCCTGTCCCCGGGCTGTGAGTGGCTGCAGGCGGGAGTGGGCTCTGCTGGAGCCTCCTCCCCAGGCAAGGGCTGCTGTCACCAATGCAGCTCTCACCACATTGTATTTCACCTGACAGTATCGAAGAACACAGATCTGCTAATGAAGTGTTAAAACCCCCAGCTCCAGCAGAGTTCCCCAGTGCCTGCAGGAGTGAGTGGCGGTGGGCGAGGTCCACCCAGGAGTCCTGGGACAGAGCCCAGGAGCGGGGAAGCCCCCACCTGCCAGCAGGTACCCTGGTGACCCCGCACAGCACCTGACAGCTGGCCTTTGGCCACAGGAGAGAGCTGGGCGGCCCTAGCAGCAAGGTTCTGGATGGGAGGCTGGGTAGGGGGGAGGCTGGGGAGGCCCTCGCGACACTGCCAGTGGGAGTGAGGGGTCCAGGAGAGCCCCACTGAGGGGCATGGAGAGGGACCAGGCCCCACACTCCAGGCGCACCTGCCGGGCCTGCAGGGAATGACGTGCTTATGGGAAGTTCATCTTCCAGCCAGGATGTGGGCGCTCCCATCCCCATGCTCCCGGCCTTCTGGCCCTTGGGTGGACAGATCACACCTGGTGCAGAAGGAGCCTGTTTATTAGGCAGGAGAAGCAGCAGGGCAGCCGGGCTCCCCCCAGCCACCAGCTGGCCAAATGTCCTCCCTTGACCCAGGGGCACCCCAGGGCTCCATGGCCATGTGACCAGAGGTGAATACCCTCAAGAGGTGGCCCCTCGGCCCTGGGCAGCGCAGCCAGTGGGTCTCGGCCCTTCAGGGGCCTGCGCCCCCCTGTGCCCAGCCCTGCCCAGAACAGCTGGGATCCAGCCCAGGCCAGACTCAAGTGGGGCGAGGCCAGGCAGCCGGGGCCTGGATGTTCTCTTTTTTTTTTTTTTGAGACGGAGTCTCGCTGTGTCGCCAAGGCTGGAGTGCAGTGGCCGGATCTCAGCTCACTGCAAGCTCTGCCTCCCGGGTTTTTACGCCATTCTCCTGCCTCAGCCTCCCGAGTAGCCGGGACTACAGGCGCCCGCCACCTCGCCCGGCTAGTTTTTTGTATTTTTTTTTTTTTTTTTTTTAGTAGAGACGGGGTTTCACCGTGTTAGCCAGGATGGTCTCGAACTCCTGACCTCGTGATCCGCCCGTCTCGGCCTCCCAAAGTGCTGGGATTACAGGCTTGAGCCACCGCGCCCGGCCTGGATGTTCTCTTAACAGGAGCGCGCAGAGGATGACAGAACAGGCTGCATGGGCAGAGCGGGGGAAGCCGCCGGATGGGCAGTGCCGCAGATGTGGCCATCAGCTGAGGAGAGGGGCAGACCTGTCGTTGGTCACTGTCGGCTTCAGCTGGACATGGGCGAAGGGATTCCTGAAAGAGAAAAACGTGGTTTTAATTTAGGGCAGAAGCCATGGGTAAACTCTGGCACCTGGGCTGCCCAATGCCCCAGGGATCCCCAGTGCTGGATGCCTACAGTCCGATCTCAGGGCACAGAGAGCTCGCAGACAACAGAGGCTGCTCTGGGGGGCAGGGAGGGTCAGGTGCCATCTGCAAGGCTGCCTGACCCCAAGGTGCACCACCCTCTGCTCACCCTACGTGACCTAGACAAGGCAGGGTGCCCCCACTCTGATCCATCACCCTCCCAGCAGCGTGGGTGGGCAGGGCAGGGTGGGGCGGGGCAGGCCAGCCGCACCCTCCCAGTGAGGGGTGGACATCACCACTGAGGCTGGGGACTCAAGACAGCCCTGAACCGGGCACACATCAGTTTGGTGGCCCCCCACCAGGCCAGGCCCACACCCAGGGACACAGCTTGGCAGAGCGCCCAGCCCAGCCCAGCTCTGGCATGGGGGCATCCACAGGAAGACAGGTTAGGCTCGCGGCTCCCTCAGGGCTGCAGATGGACACCCACGGGCCCTGCAGAGCAGCTGGCCATCCCCTGGCCAGTTGTTCCCCTGCTAAGGGCTCAGCCACCTGTCCCCCCGGGGGTGCCGCGCCCTCCCCCATGTCCCCGGGGCCACAGCTGATGCACAAATACGACTCGAGACAAGAATTTGAAATGGAACAAGATGAGCACGGATGAGAAGGACCCTATGGATCAGAGGGGAGCCTGGGCCTTTCTCTTTGGAGTCCCCACCTTCGGAGGGAATAGCACAGGACAGGATGGGGGATGTCAGGCAGCTCCAAGGGTGACAGTACAGATGGCATGTGGACGTTAAGACGCAGCAGGGACGGGACTGTGCTCCGGCAGAGCTGTGCTTGGACTGGAGCCATTACCTGGAGCGGAGTCACCTCTGGCACAGTTGGGTCCACAGGAGCCTGGGCAGCCGGGAGCAACCCCCGGGGTGGGCAGGCAGGGCTCCATCCAGCTGCCCAGGAGGCGGCGCAGGGCAGGGGCAGCTCCCTAAGCTTTCCTGAGGACTTTTGTGTTTTCTAAGAACCTGAAACACTTCAGACTGAGTTTTTAAGAGAATGAAATATGTGGAAGAGACTGATGGGTCTGCGGAAGGCTCTCAGACTTCCAGATGGCGTCTGAGCGTTGGCACCCCGCTGAAAGGATCTTTTGATCTCTCAAATGCACTGGAGCCTCAGGGTCTGCTGGATTCCCGGCTGCTTTCAGCTTTGATCTGTGCAGCTTTGCCCTTCATGGGGCCTGGGTAGGGGCTGCCTGGGGGTCCGATGGTGAGGATTCCACCTCTATCGTGATGTCGGCCCATGCCCTGTCTCCCTGCCAGGCTAGACCCACCCCTAGGGAAATGCTCTGAGTCCCTCCACAGGCCCAGGGTCCGGAGGGAGCTCCGGGGAGATTAGAAATGGGGCTGGCTGGGCGCGGTGGCTCCTGCCTGCAATCGCAGCACTCTGGGAGGCCAAAGCAGGAGGAACCACTTGAGCCCTGGAGTTCAAGACCAGCCTGGGCAGCAAAGTGGACCCGTCTCAAAAAGAAAAAAAAAGGCCAGGCGTGGGAGTGGAGCATGCCTGTGGTCCCAGCAACATGGGGGGCTGAAGTGGGGGGATCGCTTGAACCCAGGAGGTCGAGGCAGTAGTGAGCTGTGTTCCCACCACTGCACTCCAGCCTGGGTAACACAGTAAGACCCTGCCTCAAAAAAAAAAAAAAAAAAAAAAAAGGAAAGGTGGGTTCCCAGAGAAGGGGCCTAGACCTGGCCCAGACCACAGCCGGGGGCAGCACAGCTGCGTGGTTCTCACTCCTGCTCCCAATCAAAGGCAAAGGCAAAGGCAAAGGCACAGTGCTAGCCCAGACCCCAGGGGTAGGAAGCTCTCCCACCGGTGCGGGCCTGTTCCCTAACCTGCAATTTTCTCTTCTCGTCTCCCAGAATGGTGGGACTAGGTGGAGCCCGCTGAACCATCCACACTGGGTGGCTCTGAGGCTGCAAATGCTGTATCCAATCTCAGCCTGACAGGGGCAGCGGGTTGGCGGGGACGGGGAGAGCACAGGCCAGAGCCCAAGGCTGGCTGGGAGAGCAGGTCCACGCGGAGAGGCTGGGCGGCCCCATTTCCCCTACTCTGGCCCCTACCCCTCAGCCGCCTGGGACAGACGCGCCCAGGAGGCCTGCAGGGAGCTCACTGTGCTGAGAGTGGGGGCCTAACAGCCAACAGAATGTGACGAAGTTTGGAGCCCAAGGCCACCGCATGGAAGCCACAGACATTGCTCCCTGCCAGAGGACACACGCCAGGCCCCACCTCCTGCAGGACGTGGCCCTGGGCAGCGATTGCCACGAACTACCCAGTGACACCACCAGCACCTCTCCAGCCAGCGAAGGAAAGTCACCAGACAGGTCCAAGAGCAGAGGGCCCCAAGGAGGGCCTGCGTCATGTTTGGGGAGCTGCTGGTTTGGGGAGTTCAGAGGCCTGGGCTCTTGTCTCACTGAGAGCCGCCCCTCAGAGGCTGCTAAGCAAGGCTGCAGGGGTGACCTAGTGGCTTTTGTAATTTTTAAATTGCATTATTATTTTGAGACAGGGTCTTGCTCCGTCTTCTGGGCTGGAATGCAGTGGTGTGACTGTAGCTCACTGCAACCTCCACCTCCGGGCTCAAGCAATCCTCCCACCTCAGCCTCCTGAAAAGCTGGGACTACAGACGCACGCCACCATGCCTGGCTAATTTTTACTTTTGTCAAGATCGGGGTCTCCCTATGTTGCCCAGGCTTATCTCGAACTCCTGGGCTCAAGAGATCCTCTCGCCTCAGCCTCCCAAAGTGCTGGGATTACAGGCATGGGCCACGGTCCCAGCCAACTGGCCGCTTCAAGGCATGGATGCCAGTGCTGCAGAGCCAGCTGTGGCCAGGAAGGCTGGGCATGGGCACTTCTGCCAGGAAGGAGCTGGCCAGGGGGCCTCTTGGGGTTTGAGGGACTGGGCACCCCTCCCCTGCCCACGGGGGGCTCTCGGTGTGTCCTGGGGATCCCGTGCCCACCACCCCTGCAAACCCACACAGCCTGGAAGAGTCCACCTCCCCGCGGCAGAGCAGCTTCCCACTCCAGCCCCACGGAACTCAGGAGCGCCTCGGAATGCAGGCAGTCGTCTAGGATCATTTCCTGAACCAACGCCTTGAACGTGAGGCAGAAGGATTCCGAGAAGAAACAGCCATCACAAAGTGCGTTTTGACCAGTTAGGCGACTCCAGACTCCAGACCCTGAGCTGGGCGGACAACACCGGTTCTGTCTTCTGGCGTCAGCTGCTTCTCTGTGTCTTCAGAAGGTGGGCCCTTCTGGAACCGCGTCCAGCATGGGCGCTTGGGCCTCCGCTGACAAGTATGGACAGCGGCCAGGGGTGCTCCCCCCTCCACTCTCATTCCAAGGCCCCCTTCTCAGGGCCCAAAGCTGGGGCATGGCAGGGTGGCGATGGGGTTGGGGAGTCCCTTGACCAACTGCAAGTGGCTTTCGACACCCCCAATCTCAGCTGAGTTGTCAGACCAGGCAGACTGTGTGGCCAGGAAACTGGCCCCTGGCGCTGTGGAGTGGTGCTGAGCGCCACTGCCCCACTGGCACTGCCACCCAGGGTCTCTGCCCTCCACCAAGGGACGTGGTCCCTGACACAGGCTGTGCCAGCCTCATCTCTGAGCCTTCACCCCTTCCAAGTCTCACCAGGTGAGGGCAGCCCCCTCGCTCAGAGGGACCTGGGGGAGTGGGGGGTATGGAGGTCTCCCAGAAACAGCATCTCAGAAGGGAGAAAGATGGAGGTAGAAGGCAAGGTGGTGGCCAGGGCCAACCCAGAGCATCTATGCTATCCAGTCCCCAAAGTTCAGGAGCATTTTTCTACAGAACCTTCCAGAATTCATGCCGAATATCAACAACAGAAAGGCAGCAAAGAAGACAGATCCGTGATCTGCCTGTGGCTTGGCTGCCCATGGGCCAGGATGCCTGCTGTGACCATCAGGGAGACGCAGGGACCAACGTCCTTTGTGAAGGATGCAGGCACTGGCTTTGCAGAGCCACCCTCCTAGCAACTTAGGGATGGGAGGGTGGTGGGAAGCAGGACCCACCCAGACACAGGTGCAGCGGATTGGAAGGTGTGGGTAAGGGCCCCCTATGAGGGCACAGGGCCTGCTCCTGGGCAGCCTGGCACATCCCAAATATACACTGGGCACCAGGGAAGTGGCCCACTCAACCCGCGAGGAGATGGGCTCAGACCCGGACTCCAGAGTTCCACTGGAGTTGGAGCCATAGTGGCCCTGTGGCCCCTGGAGTGAGCGTCAGCTCAAACCCGGACCCAGCAGTCCTCCAGGTCTGCAGGTGCACACTTGGGATGGAGCCAGTTGGGTCCATGCTGTGGGGCTTGGGGGACAGAAGAGGCAAGGTCAGACTAACAGCACAGCCCCATCGCCAGTGGGCCCAACACCTGGCTCCAGTGCCTATGGAAATCCCCGGGGCTCTTGCCAGGACCCCAGCCGCCAGTCTCCACGAGGCTGTCATCCTTACCAGCCCCAAAGGCACACACACCCGAAGGAGCCCAAGCTGGCGCTGCAAGTCAGGCGGGAAAGGCCCAGGCTGCAGCTGCTTGCCGGGGTCACCTCTTGACTATAACTGAAGTGCCCAGCAGGGCAGGAGAGGACCACAAAGAAGGTCAGGGCCAGAGCCATACCCAGCAGTGAGGGGAGCCCCGGGCACAGCCAGCCAAAGTCCACAAGCTTCCAGGAGGGGAGGAGGAGACTGTGAACCCAAGGAGGGGACCCAGTAGAGAAGGCCCAGCACCCAGAGCAAGAGGCAGGCTCAGTGGACCCCTGGCCCTGCCATGCAGCCAGGCCCTCCCCACCCACGCTGCGTGGCTGAGGCCAGAGGACCTGTGTAGACCCACTGGCCAGTGACCGCACAAGAACGCCAGGCAACTTACTAACTCTAATCAGGCGGCTCAGAATCTGGCCACTTCCACATCGGCGCTGCAAGGAAACACAAGGCTCAGTTGGAGGCGGCATGAGGTCTGAGGACTCGGGGTTGCAGAGGAGGGGGAACCACGGGCGAGCTGCCAGGAGACCGAGAACCCTGGAGCACTTGGGAGTCGGCACAGAGCTGGGGCTCTGGCTCTCCCTGGACGGCGCCTGCGGACCCGGCCTCACTTGCCGGCCTGAAGAGAGCCAGGAGCCTGCCTCAGCCGCAGGTGGCCCCGCACTTTCCCCTGGGGCGGCGGGGCCCCCGCAGAGCCCCGGCACAGTGAGTGACTGTCACTGGGCCAGCACTGTGTGCAAGCCCAGGTGATCTAGCAGGCAACTGAGTGCCAAGAAAATACCTGGCAGAGGCAGGCACGAGGCGGGGCCCCCACGGCCCAGACGCATGCCGGGAACCGGAAGGAGGTCCATACCCAACTCGTGCAATAAATAAAACTTTTATTCAAACAAGTAACTGCAGTACAGGGCACAATTCAGATTTTTTAAAAAAGGAAAGGAAACAGGAAAAAAAATATGTTCAGCACTTTACATCTTCATACAAGTGTTGCTGTTTTGTGTCTACATTCATCCATTGAGCATGGAATCCCCTGGATTTGAAATCTTTAGCGGAGCGGGAACGCCGGTGCGGCGGGGTCTCTACATAGGGCCCGGTCCGCCCTCGAGTTCCCCTTAACCTCAGGCGGTCCGAGTCTGGAGCTGCTTCCCACACAAACCAGGCCACACCCCAGGCCACGGGGAGGTGTGCGGGAGGCTTTTGCTAAACCACATCAGATAAAGGAGCGTCGCAGCTTCCCAGGGGCTCCCACCAGCAGGCAGGCTGAGCCGGGCTGTGCCCTGCACTCAATTCCCCAGAGTTCAGTGTGTGAAGAGACAATACCAGTAGCCACTGAGTCCACTGTGTTTGTTTCTAAAGTCACCAAGACACACAAAAAGACGAGAGCGTTTAGGAAGAACCAGGCAGGAACCGCCTGTCTCCCCCAGGTGGGGGGTGTGGGTGCGACGTGCCCAGAGCTGCCCTCCCCCGGCCGGGCCTGGCCCACACACCCTGCCCCGAGCAGCCAGGTAGCCCGGGGCAGCCTTGATGCCCTCACAAGGCTGGTCAAAGGAATGTGGGGGTGGGGTGGTCGCTGGAGGTCTTTGGAGTGTCCGTGTGCGGCCAGCCGGGCAGCGCCTGCCCCCGACCTTGCTCCTGCCGGTGCCCGACGGGAGGCGAGGCCACTCTGCCACGCTGCTCTATGTACACTTGGCCCGCAGCGTCCGGAGGGAGAAGCCCTCAGGTGCCCAGGCCCGGCCTCCCTCACAGGAGCGGCCGGCTTCCTCAGGAGGCCCCTCGAGCTTGGCACGAGCCCCCTTTCTCTGTGCAGCCCTCCACAGGGTCCGGGGTGACCAGGGACCCCAGCACCTTCCCTGTCTGGACAGAGGCCTTTGCGCCGGGAAAGTCAGATGCGAGATAACAGCGCACACCGGAGTCCATGCAGATCGGTTTTTGTTTTTCAGGAAAAAAAAAAAGTCCTTTTTCCTGTTTTTTGTTTTTTGTTTTTTTTTTTTCAAAGATTTTTCTTTTTCTCCAAACTTTAGACCTGGCTCACGGCGAGCCTTAGAAAAGCAGTGAGTGCCACAGACACTGCAGGGTGGGGCCGAGGGTGCCCCGCACGGCCCAGCAGGTCCTGCCTGGCAGTTTCTGCTCGAAAGGCTGGGACACACAGGGTGGGGCGCGTAAACACTGGGGGGGCGGGGGCGGATGGAGCAGCACCATGGACCCTGGGGGATCACAGAGTCTGGGGTCACCAACCAAAAGGCAGGGGCAGGTGGAAAAGAAAACCCAGGAACAAACCAGCAAGAGCTGAGGAGGAAAACAGACGGAGACCAGGGGGAAGGCGCGGAAGCTCTTCAGAGCAGCGGCTGCCCGGGGTCAGCGTCCTCACACTGTGGACACCAGCGTGCCGCTGCCACTGCGAAACAAAGCACGGGACGGCTGCCTGGCTGCACAACGCTGCCCGGCCACAGGCAGCGACTCTGCCCGCACCAAGCAACGCCCCTTTCAGCAGCCCCCGTTGGCCTCCTGGCCCTCCAGGAAGGCAAAGGACGGGGTGGAGCGCAGGCTGGGGGCAGAGGAGGCTGCAGCCCCAGCCGCGGATGCCGGCCTCAGCCACCCTCCCCAACCTTGCCTTTGCCTGACAGGGATGGATGGGGCCAGCCAGATGCGATGAAAGAGGGGCAGGGCCCAGGGGGGTTTCCGTGTCACTCGGAGAGAGCAGGAGGCCCTGGGGGACGTCCCTGGCTCTGGCAGAGGTGAAGGGCCAGGCTGGGCCCTAAAGGAAGAAGAGATGGCCCCAGGTCCTAGGAGAGGGACCTGCCCCACCCAGCCTCTTCACACCCACCCACGGTCCCAAAGACAGGTCTGAAAGCCCCTTACCTGCTCATGGACCGCGCTCCATAGTCATCCAGGCCCTGGAGGGAGAGGCGGAAACACGTCAGGCCAGGTGACGGGGCCTGCGGTCACCCACAAACGGTCATCCTGCCTGGGCAGGGTTCAAACCGTGTTCCCTCGGAAGGCTCCCCATCTCCTGGCTGCAGCACTCAGAGGCCTGCCTGGAGCCCCGGTTCCAGTGGTAAAGTGATGACTGCCCAAATCAATGGGGATGCCTCCTCCAGCCAGCGGCCACCTGAATTTGTAGCTTGTTGCACACTCCCAAACACACGCAAGACCGGCCTCCTGGGACCTCCGCCCGCCCCCAGGGAGCCGAGGCCCCTGCAGGGCACCTGCAGCACCTCACCCATGCCTAGGCAGGCCCCTGGGACCCCTCTGCCCACCCATGGGACCTGGGCCCAGACCCCAGCTACAATTTCCTGGAAACTTGTCACATGTACCATCCCGGCCCGTGGGAGGGTGACACTGCCTGGGAGGAGAGCCCAGGTGTGGTGCTGGGGCTGGCTGCGCCCTTTATCTGCCAGCATGGCCTGGCCTGGGGCCTAGGGCAGGTGCAGACCCCTCCCTTGGCTCTCCCAGCACTGAGTCTACCCCAGAGGCCGACCTGTGGAACACCCACGGCCCAGAGCCCGAACCTCTCCAGGTCGCATCCTGCGGCCTCAGCTCAGGCTGTCAACCTGGGGGCCCCTCACTTGTGGGTCGACAGCTGAGCAGTCACCCAGGCTGCCCGTTATCTCAGAAAAAGGTGGGTTCTCTTCTCTCTACCCACTGCCTGAGGCCCAACCCTGGAGACTGGCCCTGGGAACAGCTGCTAGCCCAGCCAGCATCCCACAAACGACCCCCAGCTGAGAAGCCCCAGGCCGACAGGGGTCTCCAACCCTCCAACTCCAGGAGCCTCCCCGGACGGCGCGGGTTGGGACCTGGCAAGCTACCACGCACACTCACATCCTGTCCCAGCCTAGACACCAGGACCGCCATGATCCTGGGCTTCCGAGGACACACACCAGGGCCTAGGACCCAGGCCCTGATCCTCCAGCTCTGGCCTCCTGGCACCAGAGGGCCCACATCCAGGGTCACGCTGACTGGAAGAGTCCAGCCACGTGCCAGGACTGAGCAGAAAGCACTCCCATCATATGGGTATGACTGAGGGAGCCCCGTGGTTCTCATGGAAGGGATCCTAACCCCCTGGCTCTCCCAGAAGGTGGCCGGGTCCAGGCCCACCTCTAGGCCAGCCACTTCCCAGCCCAGACGCTGCCCCCTTGGGCAGAGCAGTGAGCTGCCCATGGCCGGCTGAGGGCACCATGAGGGACGGGCCCACCCCACCCCACCCCAGCGTGCCAACACAGGGAGCCTGCTGGGGCGAGGCGAGCAGCCTGTGGCTGAAGCAGGGGTGTGCACACATTCCTAAATCACGGAGCCTTCACCCCAGGCCTGTCCAAAGAGACCCAGACCCCCAGGCGCCTGGCCCCTCAGCGGAGGCTCCAACGTGGGACGGCAGGCTGAGCCCACTGTTCCACCTGCGGGCCCTCCTAGCCCAGCCCGCCCGCTGACCTGGGAGAAGGCGGGCACAGCCACACTGTAGGGCCTCTGCTTGAAGCCGCTGGTCGTCTGGGCGGGGAAGGCCCGGGAGGCGGCGCCGTAGTCGGGAGGCGGGATGGCCAGGTCGTCCTTGTCCAGGAGGTTGCCGGTGCTGCTGCTCTTCCCTTGCTGCAGGCTGCAGGGACAGGGACTCAGAGATGGCCCAGCAGGCCAGACACCCCCAACACCCCACAACCCTGTGGGCTCCCTGGACGGCCCACCCTCACCTACCCCACGCCACATGCGGGAAACTGCTCTCAGGCCAAGGCTGCAGCCCTGGTGACCATGGGCCAGGCCAGTCTGGCCTCCCTCCCTCCTCCTGGCCATGAAAGTGAGTCAGGAGGACTCCAGAGGGGCTGGGCTGCCACAGCAACCCCAACCCTCCCAGCAGCCATGCACCCCGCCAGCTTTCAGCTACTGCGATTCTCTGAAGGCTGGGAGAACCTGGAGCACCTGGGACAGCCAGGTCCTTGCACACCTGGCCCCCAGGTGCTGCCCCCACAGCACCTGCTGCCTGCACTGGTGTCCCCAGGGCTCTCGGGCCCCACCGCACAGGGTACCACCATGCTTCCACCCTGAGGGCCTCAAGCGCCCAGCTCTCAGGGCCACTGGGGATGGCCCTGCAGTAGCAGACAAGGAGCCAGAAGCCCATCCCAGCTTTCCAAGCCCAGGGACCTGCTGGTGCCATCGCAGCCCCTCTCCAGAGCTGGGGATCTAGCACTCCCTTTGGGCCCAGCGCTCACCTCATATGCAGCCTGTCACTGCCGTCGCTGTCCAGGACCCGGGTGTAGGAGAAGGGAAACCAGCCCCGCCTGGAAGAGAGGCCCCAGCTAAGAGCCACACTCAGCCCGGAGGCCCCGGGTGGGGGCAGTGGCTCCCCATCCCCCATCGACCACCATCCAAGCACAAGTCCCTCTAGCTCCCCAGCACGGCTGCGCCACTGTCTCTGGAGGAAGAGCCTGCTCCCACTGTGTGCTCAGCCTCAAGGGCAAAGTGGCCCAGGCTGTCCCCAACCTGGCGGGAGCTGCCGGCCCCACCAGACCCAACTGCAAGGCTCCAGAGCCCAGGCAGAGCAGTTGCTCCTGCCTCGCAGCCCCAGTGCCACACTAAGCCACGGATGGCACCAAGACGGGAGTGGCCACTGGAAAAAAGATGGAGCAGCCTCCTGGGAAACCCCCTGCCCTCGGCCCCCTCCCCAGGGTGGTGGCTGCAAGGCCAGGCTTAGGAAGGCACAAATGTCAGGGCCTTTTCCCATCTTGCCAAGAGACACACCCACACAAACACAGCCCTGGGAAGGCAGCCCCCAGGTCCAGTGAGGGTGGCACGCTGGCCCAGCCTCTCTGCAACAGCATTCAGTACACTGGGGAAGTACGGCCCATCTGACTCCATAGGTGACTTCTAGAACTCCAAACTTCCACATCTGGCATGTGGAAGAGCTGAAAGCTGCAGAAAGCCTTCGGTCTCAGGATGGCCAAGCCCTGCTCCGCACCTGCGAACTGTGGGAAACTGACACCCACCACAGGGCTTCGGCCAGATGTGCTGAGGGCGTACACGTGTGGGACGCCACACCCTACACCAAACTGAGTGGCACATCGAGGCGATGGAGCAAGGAGGTCACTAGACTGCGGTGAGAAACCCCCGCCGTCGGGGGAGACCCCTGCCGTGGGGAGAGACCCCTGCAGGGAAGTGGTTGGGGGAAAAGCCCCTGCCAGGGGAGGAGACGCCTGTTGGTGGAGAAGACCCCGGGTCACGCTTGCTCTCACTGCCCAGGTTTTCTAGGGTGAGGACCTGTGACCTGCAGTGAGTCTAAACACAAGGTCCCAGCGCATCTGAGTGTCACCGCCCCACACACTTGCTGAAGGCAGCGGCTGCCTGGAACCCGCCCCCGAGAGACACTCACATCTTGGTCTTCTCACTCTCTCCATAGTGCCAGCCATCGCGGGCCTCAGGCACCAGCAGGGTAATGAGGTCACCCTCCTTGAAGCTCAGGAGGGTGCTGTTGTCCCCGGCAGCGTGGGAGAAGATGGCCTTCACCCGCATGCGGCCGTTGCGCTCCAGGCCGGCTGCCATGGAGCTCGAGCGAGGCAGAGTCTTGTTCTCAGCTGTTGGGACAAAGGACAGGTAAGGGGACGGCCGCCGGCTCGCGGGGCACCAAAGCCCAGGGAGCCTGGCTGAGGTGCTGTGCCCCAGGTGGGCGAGTGAGCCTTTCCCGGGCTGGCTAAGCTCTCCCAAGCAGCAGCTGCCTGCTCCTAAGTGGCTGCTGCCTGCACGAGCCTGACCCAACCCAGTACCCCACTCACGCCCTGACTAAGCACCAGAGGCCTGACAGGAGGAAGCTGGGTGCTGGGCAGGCACATCTGTGTGTACCACCCGTATGTAGGCACACACGGCCACACACTGGTGAGCCTCAGGGTCTCCCAGTCCCCTAACTTGGGGGTGTGACATGTCTGGGGAGGCACACCCAGGGACCCTTACTGGCGGCGTAGCTGTTTTTCGGGGTCACGCTCTTGCGCACGGGGAGCGTGTTGGAGTAGGAGTCGCTGAGCTTGCTCTGAGGCTGCGGAGGAGACAGGGATTTGGGCTGGGCAGCCTTGCGGTCAGCCCACGGGCTGTAGTCCTCGCCATCCGGGCCTGCGACGCCGTTCATGATGGGCGTGCTGTCCTGGGCAGACATCCGCTGTAGGGAAGTGGGTAGAGCAGGCTGTTCCTGGAGCCCACCGCGGGCAAGACCGGGGGAAAGAGAACCCTCCACCTCCAGCCCCTCAGCAGGGGGCCTTGGGCTCTGCACCCTGGCCGCCCCCAACCCCGACAACAGCTGCCCTACCCACCCACACCCGTGAAGCTTTCCAGAGGCCACACTCACCCCCACGAACGGTGCCAGCTCAGGGGGCACCGGCAGGGGCTTGGCCCCCGGAATGGGGTCCGAAATGACCAGATTGGACTTGGAGGCCGACAGGGCGCTGGGGAGGGTGGCGCCGTTGCTGGCTGCCTGCTGCATCAGCTGCACGGCGCGCTCTGGGATCTTGCTGGGGTCAGCGCAGGCCTGTTGCCACAGCGGCAGCTTCTGCGCCAGCAGCTCCTTGCCCTGAAGTGGAGGAAGCAAGAAGGGAGGGGTAAGAGCTGGCTCAGGCTCCTGCAGCCGGGCACAGCCCTGAGAGCCCTCCCTGAGCACCCTCTGGGGCTGGAGGCTGCTCTTCACCAGGTGGTGCCTCTCAGCGAGACAGGCCACCCGTCAGCCTCTGACCCCAACCCACAGAAGCGGCTGCTGGAAAAGGGCCTGGGATGCGACCACAAGTCATGCAGTCAGGGGACCTCCAGGAATGAGAGCAAACCCAGGCCCAACCCCCGTGGGGTCCATCAGCGCCTGGAGGAAGGAGAAACGGACAGGGGTGCACAAGGTCAAACCCCGGTGGGCAAACCCCAAAGTGCTAGGCAGGCATCCCAGGTGGCCGGGGGAGGGGGCGGTGCTGCCCAGTGGGGGTCAGCCTGGCTGCCGAGGGCAGGAAGGCGGCCCTGTCAGACACACTGAGGTTCACTGCTCCACATCCGCTGCCCGTGGGCCCAAGAGCCCGCTCTCCCTTGGATGTACTACTCTGCAGCCTGCTGGACACACACCAGCTGAGCACAGCGGGGACAAAGGAGCAGGAAGCCACAGGCGTGACGAAAGGTTGTGGGACTAGGGGCCAACCAGGCCTGGGTCCTGGGAGCTAATCAAGTAGCCCCTGCCCCTCCTGGCCTAAGCAGGCTGCAGGGCCTAGATTCCTGGGACCCCCAGACCCTAAAGCCCTGGGCCAGAACTGCTCTGTCTCTGGCACCTCTGGGGTCTCTCCAGCTTTCACTGATCCCCCCCCACTCATCCCTGTTCTGTTACACATGGCTGGGCACCCACGTGGGGGACCCACAGAGGGTGCTGGACGACAGCCCTTCTGAGCAAGTCCTACCCACGCCACCCTCACCCCTCCGCTGCTGGCTTAGACCAGGGGTCAGCAAACCATAGCCCGAGGGCTGGCCTCCTATTTTGTAAACAAAGTTTTACTGGAACACAGCTGCGCTGCTATTTGTGAATTCATTCACGGCTGCCCTCACGCTGCAGTAACAGAGCTGAGACTCCATGGTCCACAGAGCCAAAAGCATGAACTCTGTGGTCATTCAGAACGTCCGCCGAACCCTAGCTCAGATCAGTGGTAGAGGAGTGAGTCTTGTCGGGAGCGCGGAGAGGCCAACAGGGACCAGCATCAGGGCCGACGGCCAGGGGACACCGACCACCGACCTCACAGCAGCATGGCCCTGACGCAGCGGCCACAAGCCATCGTCACCCCTTCCACCCTGAGAGCCCCGAGGCAGGCCCAAACCCAACCACCAGGGAGCTCCTACGAACTGCCCTGGGAGGAGGCTGCCCTCACACCCTGGCCCCCAGCCCAGAGGCTTGTCCACGTGGGTCTGTGGGACACAAGCCTCTTCCACACATGCCCGGGGGCCCACGAGCCCAGGAGCTCAGCTGTTGCCACTGCACAGGCACATCCCGCAACCCCTCCTGGGAGACAACGGCACCTGCGGCCTGGCTTCCCAGCCCTCCATCCCTGCAAGCAGCACCCCGGCCACTGACAGCTCTGGCTCCCTGGCCCTGTCACAGGGCCCGGCCCCCGCCAGAGGGCGCAGACGCTCGCCACAGTCCTGGGTCTAGCAGGCAGGAGGCCTGCGCTCCACAGCGCTCCCTGCCTGGCAGTTGGGGCAGCACAGCCTGTCACCAGTGAGTCCCCCAGCAGCCAGGGGTCACAGGTGCTACTGCTGTCCTTACTGCACCTGCCCACAGCGCCCAGCAGGTGCAGGCCGGCAGGAGGGGTCTCTCCAGGGAGGGAGGAGCACTTGTCTCCTGTCTGTCCCCAGGCTGTGAGCACTGGAGCACTGGTTCCATATCACGTGTGTGTGTGTGTGTGTGTGTACATGCACATACATGTGTGTGTGGTGGGTGGGGGGAACAAGTGTCAAGGTATAGCCCGTGGATCCCTGGGACCCCTTGTTTTAGAAAGACATGACCAGGCCCTCCCTTGGTGGGCTTGGCTCCTGAACTCCATCTGCTAAACTCTTGAAATGTTCCAGAATGTTCCAGGGGACAGATCTAATCCCACCCTAACTCCTACTCATGGATTGTGGGTGAACAGGGGCCTGCTGGCCCTGCCTGTTCCCGGTGGGGAGCCTGGCCTCTGGGCCTTGCTTGCTCTGGGGGCTAAGTCAGCCTCCTAGGAGGGGTTCCCCTTGCTCGCATGGAGACTCAGGACATCCCTGGAGGGGGCTGCTGCAGCCCCTCCCTGAGGAGCTTGCTCCCGGTTCAGCAGGGCCGGGTTTGGTCCTGGGACATGGCGGATCCCAGGGCAGGATTCGACAAGGAACGACCAGGCTGGGGATGCCTAGCAGGAAACACATGGCCGCAGGACTGTGCAGGGGGTGGGGAACAGAGTCTACGGGCCCAAGGAGGGACCCTCAACAGATGATGGGCAGAGGGGTCTCTCAGAGGTCATGAGGGAGCAGCATGTGGCCACCACCCAAGGCCCGACCTAGGATCCCAGGGGCTCAGGAGTGCAGGCAGAGGTGGTGGAGGCGCAGGTCACAGAGAGCCTGGGAGCCAGGGGAGGACCCTGTGACCAGGTGTGAGTCCCAGGGAGGCCCCTCTGGAGCAGCACTGGAGGGGCTGGGGGGCCACCTGAGAGCCAGGCAGGGCCCCTGGCTGCCCAGGAGGCAAAGAAATAGGCCAGGTTCAGGTTGGGTGAGGGGTGGCAGGTCCACGTAGGACAGCCAAGCTGTGGCAGGTGCTGGATCTGGGGCCAGTGTCACGATTGTCTTGGGTGGCTTAGGGGTCCAGTGGCACAGTGGTCTTGGGTGGCTGGGGACCCAGGCTTGGGGCTGGGAGTCCTCAGCACCTCGGGTGAGCAAAGCCATGAGCCCAGAGGCTGTACCCCAGGACTGTGGATTGAGGAGCCACAGGAGGAACAAGTGAAGACACAGAGGCCACCCACCAGGTGCACCCAGCACCCAGCACGGAGCATGACCGTCCCCTGCCTGTTGTCAGCCTGTGCCTCCCCAGGACAAGGCTGTGGCAGAAGAGCCAAGAACGTTCTTTTAAATGAATGTTCTAAAAGGTCTTGAAAGCCCATCAGACTCTCCCTGGTTGCAGGTGGCAATTCTAATGCGAGTCTTCAAAATGCCTGCACCCCGCGACCTGGTAATTCTCCTAGGACTTCATCCCCAAGAAAACCCGAAATAAACACGAGTTCAAGCCCGGACACTGCCCTGGGGTGCTCACGGGGCTGGGGCAGGGGCCTAGCTCATTTCCGCCCGTGAGGCCCAGCGCCAGCACAGCGCAGCCCCGAGCCGCCTCACCTTGGAGTGGTACGCCGCGGAGTTCTTGGCCACAGCGCACTGCTTCTCCACCAGGAAGCAGAAGCGTCTGCGCTCCTCCGTCAGTGCGGTCTTGTAGCCGTCGGACACGTAATTCTCTAGCTCGCCCTGCTTGTTGCTGATGGCATCGATGTACTGTGGAGGGAAGGTGAGAAAGGCTCAGCCAGCAGCAGGAGGGCACCTGTCAGGCCCGGTATGGGGCAGCCCCACGGACTCAGTCAAAGGACATGTCTAATTCGTGCAGAGCAGAGGCTTCTGGAAACAAAACAGCATCTGCGGCCACTCAGGAGACAACTGCGCCCCCAGGAGGCTTCAGCTGCCCCGGGACCACTCAGGAGATGCCCGATGACCACATCCCCGGGAGGCTTCACTGCCCGGGGACCACTCTTGGCAAGTGGAGGGTCCTGCCTCCAGCAGGAGGCTCTGGCAGGGGGCTGGTCTCATCTCCTCGGGGCTCCCGCTGTGGGGTGGGGTCGCATGCACCTCCCTGTGGTCAAGGCACAGAAGCCTGGGTGTGGACGTGCCCCAGCTCCATGGGCCCCAGGACAGCTTCTTAGTCCTCCCGTTGCCTGGAGCACCCTCACCTGCCCCTCTGCCTCCAGGGCCCCTCCATCTCAGCCCCAGCAGGAAAAGCAGGAGAGCTGGAGCCCAGGACACTGGCCAAGGACCCCAGGAAAGCCCTCTGCTGCAGAGGGGACTCCGGGGGCACCTCACCTCCTCTCCCACCCCCGACTGTTTTCCAGATGAGCGCACACTGAGGGAGAATGTGAGAAGTTAGTTCATGGGGTGGATCAGACAAAAGGTCACTGAGCGGAGACCGGGAGCCCAGAAAGCAAGACCAGCGTCCGTGGGGACAGCAAGGTCAGATACACAGGTCACACTTGTCGGAAGAGGGTGTGCCCAGGTAAGGGGCCAGCACAGAACTAGGAATGAGGAGTAGGCCTGACTGCTACCCTTCCACCTTGGAGCTGCTCGAGTGCCCACCCGGGTGTCCCTGTAGGACGGGGGCACGGGGAGAATGTGTCCTGCACAAACATGGAAGCTCTGGAAACGCCCTCATCCCTGGCAGGTGCTCTTGGGCACAGGAAAGACAGGTAGTCAAGCCAGACCCTAGAACCCGAGCAGCCAGCAGGCAGACCCCATCCCAACCCGGCGGTCAGCCCCTCTGGAGCCCTGGCGGCTGTGGCCCTGGCTCTGACCAGGCGGCTGTCACGTCTTGACCACTCTCTACTTCGTGGTGGACACACAGTCCTCCCAGAAAGGGTTCCAGCCAAAACAACAGAAACTGCTACGGCCAAAATGATTTCCCCAAAAGGAAAACTGAGTCTCAACCTGATAGAGCCTCCAGATTCAGCTACCAATTCTGAACACACCAGGACGGAGAGTACCAGAGCTTCACTTTGGGAAGATGGGAAGTTCTGGAGATGGATGCTGGTGGTGATCGCACAACCACGTGAATGCACTAATGCCGCTGAACTGTGCACTTAATGGTTACCGTGGTCAACTGGATTAGTCACATGTATTTTATCACAATTTAAAAAACTCTTTAAAAGAAGTAGTGTAAGCAAAGCCAGACCAAGAAGCTGCAACTGAGCCCAGGCCTCTCCGCTGTGAGCCTCAGAAGGAAACTGGAAAGAGGGAGTCTAGGGGAGAAAGTGGGGAAGAAGCTGAGGGCGGCTGCTCCCTCCCAGGCCCGGGACCGTGCTCCCATCCCGGGCAGAGGCGCCTCCCAGGCTGCCCGTGGGTACAGGGCTTGTGGTGTGACTCACCCGGCCAACAGGACTGTGGGTGGAACTGACAGTCCCAAACCCCAAGGCACTCTGCCTCTGTCCCTCTGGGAGGAACGTGCCTCCCCAACCCCCGCCGGCCCCTCCACGACCCCGGCTGGCGGATCATGTGCCTGTGGCACAGCTGACACCTGGCACCCAGGTTCCCGATTCTAGAACCCCAGCCCGACAGTGGGAGGGCTCGACTGCGGCCCTGGATGTCAACGGCTCTCTCCAGTTTTGTAGGCTGGAAACTTTCTGTCCCAAAACGCTGATGAGGCTGTGGGTGGCCAGTGAGGGTGAGGGAGCAGCACGCCAGGCACAGACCCTGTCCCCAGGGAGACACCCAGATCCCTCCCGGGTGGCCGCAGGATCCCAGCTGCTTCAGCAGGGAACCAGCTTCTCCTCTGCCAGAAAGCTCTTTCCAGCTCTCCTCTGTCTCGCCTCTCCTCCTGTGCCTACCTGCCCTGGGCTGAGCCCCTACCGGCCTGAGGCAGACCCTCCACAGCAAGACACAGACCCCCCCGTCCACCGGATCACCCGTCAAAGAGTGGCCAGTTCAGAATCGGCTCCTAAGAAGATTCGGCCTCCGCAAGGGGGCGGCCTCCCCCGCCTGACTCAGCCTCACGGCCGCCCCGCCCACAGCTCTGACTCAGCATGGGTGGGCAGCGGCAGCCCAGGTGGGTGGCGGGGAGGGGAGCGGAGCAGCCTGTTCCCTCGCTGCCTACCCCCGCAAGCCTCCACTACAGGGGTGAGAATCAGCCTGGAGGGGTGTGGGTCGGTCCCAGCGCTACCACCGGGCACTGGCTCTGCCTGCTGGCCAGTATGAGCAGACCGTGCTGTCCCCAAGGCTAGAGCCTGCCCAGCCACATCCCCCAACACGGAGCCCAGGGCTCCCCTGCCCTTGCAGCTCACCTTGCTTTCCCACACTAAACCCCACCTGCCCCTCCAAACAGTGGGCTTGCTACTGCTACCCTCAACAGGCCCTAACCCCCAGAGGTGCTGCAGGGCCTGGCCACAGGGTCATCTAAATGGGACCTGGGATGGCGTTTGGGAAACGAGAAGTTTGATCACAGGCGAGAGGCCCTGCAAGGCAGCCTTAAGCAGACTTTCCAGCCAGCTCTGCTCCACGCTGAGGCCTCTGCTGCCACCCCCACTGCCGCTGCCGCTGCCTCCCCCGCCACTTTCTCCTTTTTCTCCTCTTTCTCCTCCTCCTCCTCCTCCTCCTTCTCCCTCCTCCTCCTCCTCCTCCTCTTCCACCTCCGCAGCTGGAGCACGAAGTTCTCTTCCTCTGGTTACGCAACACACACCCACCAGGGCTTCCTGCTCTTGCTCCCAGGAACCTCCAGTGACCTCTGAAACTCCTTCTCCAGGAAGGGGTGGAGTGGGACAGCCTGATTCGGGGGTACCCTGGGGCCTGGGGAGGGCATGGTGGCCGTGGCCAGGATGCCACATGCTGCAGCTATGGAGGAGGACACCTGAGCCCGCTGTGCTCCAGCCTGGCTGCTGGACTCCTTTCCCGACCTTCAGGATCAAAGGGACTGGGTGGGCAGGGCTCGCTCCAAGAAACAGGTGGGCTTGTGCACAATGAGGGGCCTGGAGATGAGTACCCGCCCATGCCCCTGCAACATCACTCAGAGCAACACCCAGGCCTGTTCCCAGGCCGCCTGCAGGGTCCTGCCCACTCCTCCCCCAGGGAGCTGCCAGGGATGCTGGGGTGCGCCTCCAGGCTCTGAGTGGCCTGTGATGGGGATGCCTGCCTTGGACCCCGACCTCATGCACAAGAGTGCACAGAGGAGCTATTCGGTGCCCAGAACCCCTTAAGTGGGGCAGCCTCAGGAATGTGAGGTTCCATGGAGAAACCCCCAACACACCCCATCATGAGGATTCTGTACCCTCCCTGGGGGCTTTTCTAGCAGTGGCTGGCCCAGAGGGCATGGTGGGCAGAGAGCTCAGGGCCAGAGAGCGCTCAGCAGGAGATCCGACGCCTGGCAAAAGAAACTGAGGCACTGAGAAAAGGCAGGCCAGGGGGTCTGCCCAGAGCCACGGCCTCCACGCAGGTTGCCGTCCAAACGGGACTCGGGGGAAGTGAAGGTGCTGCTTGAAGCGGTCACCCCAGGACAGCAGCACAAACTAGGCCGCAGGGCCCCTTGGGTCTCCTCACCCTGAGAACGTCACCTTCCAAACCAAGGCCCCTGGAGCCGGTACGGCTGCCCACCCTACAGGCGGTTTCTGGGTTTTTAGGCTACAGTACTTTCTCACGCTCGTGCTCGGTCCCCCGGGGGAGAGTACAGCGAGGGGTACTGGCCTCATTAGCAGGGTCTGGCAGCCTCCCTGGCTGGGTAGGGAGTTGGTGTTTTATTTTTAAGGCTTCCACTTACTCAAAGGAGCCCCGTAAATGGCTGGGAGTGGCACAGAGATTTCAACAGAAACCCAGGGGAAGTTGGGGGAGAGACAAAGTACGGCTGCATGGTGCTCCAGCGGGGCCCCTCCAAACCCTGGGGACAGAGAAGAGAGATGTTCCCAGAGCTGTAAGCAGGGATGGCCAGCCCCCGGGGGACGGAGGGAGCCGACACCTCCTGCCTCAGAGCCCCCATATGAGCATCCAGCCATGGCGGAGCCTGAGTTAGTGCGTGACACGCGGCTGCCACTCTGTCTAGGAATGACAGCCGCCTCTCCTCACCTCCTTTTCCAGAACACTAACTCCTCATAGAGACCACGACTGTGCAGGGCAGATCCTGGAAATCTAGGCCAGGCAGAAGCTTCACCACACAAGGGGCCGGTGCGGGGATGGGGAGGGGAGGAGGGGAGGAGGGGAGGAGGGGAGGAGGGGAGGAGGGGAGGAGAAGAGGGGAGGAGGGGAGGAGAAGAGGGGAGGAGGGGAGGGGAGGAGGGGAGGAGGGGAGGAGGGGAGGAGGGGAGGAGAGGAGGTGGCGGTCAGCGCTGCAGGGCCCGACCAATTCTGACCTGCTGCTGGACGGGGATGCCCTGCATGGGGCATGTCCGAGCTGGGTGGAAAGTGCAGAGGACAGAGCACGGCCTGGTCTGCACCTCCAACCTGGCGGCCGGCCATTTACAACGGCCCTGAGCCTGCCCCATGGACAGGCGGTCCCAGTGGCCGGCCCCCTTCAGCCCCTGCCCGCCGCTGAGCCACCAGCTGCGTGCTTAGCTGGGTGCCATGGCGACAGCACTATGGAAACACCCAGCTGAAAGCATTTAAGACCCACAGAACGCTCCCACTTAGTCACCCTGGGCTGAACGGCCCCGTGATCAGAGAAGACAAAAGTGATCAGAACACATCTCATCTCTCCACAGCATGCGGTGACTCAGAGTGGGGGAGGGGCGTTCCGGAAAAAACCAAGGCGGCTT